GAACCACGTTAAATTTGTGTCTTCTTTATCTACTTTAATTGTCGTTGTTATCAACTTCCATTGACTTTGTTATTGCCATTATACCATTGTTTGGCTATATTCCGCAATACCCGGGTTCCCGATCCTAACAACGCTTTCTTTCTTCTGTTGGATTTTTCAGAACATCTTCGTCATTCTTTACTTGAAAGTAGACATCTGATAAAAAGGGAAAGCACATAAACCTTCGAGGATTGTAGATAAGCCATTAACCACAAAGAAGAAAATTATTAGCTTGAGCAAAACATGCTAATAAAAAGAACTGGGAATCTTACTTCCGAGTTCATCAGTTGTATAAGGCAAATCTGGCCAGAAAATGTTCGCATGCATTACATCACTGACTGCACTTGAAAACATGAGTGTCGCTTCGCTATTTCCCTAGACATCAAGTGANTGAGTGTCGCTTCGCTATTTCCCTAGACGTCAAGTGAGAAAGGCAACATCAGCTAACCATAGACAACCAGCCATAATGACCACCAGCCTAGATTATATTTTGCTCAAGAATTATCAGAAAGCGACTGAGAGCCTGTGGACAATGCCTGTCATTTAGGAATTTAGCAAGGGTCCATTTCATACGACAAATAGATCCTTGAAAGCAACATTGACTAAAAGCACAAGGCAGGAAAGCATTTTGCAGAGTCAGCAGTTTCTGACACCGTCAAAAGAGTCAAAACTATTGTCCAAAAACTTCCTTGTCTAGGTATTCCCAATCCTGAAGTATTCATGATAGTTGAAACCGACACTTCTGATGAGGGGTACGGTGGTATTCTCAAACAAAGAATCTCTTCAAGCTCTCTAGAACAATTAATTCGTTTCACTTCCGGAATATGGAATTCGGCTATGAAAAATTCTAGTATAGTCAAAAAAGAGATTTTGTCTATAGTACTATGTATTACAAAATTTCAAGACGATTTAATAAATAAAGAATTTTTACTAAGGGTTGATTGTAAATCAGCCAAAGAGATTTTACAAAAAGATGTTAAAAACTTCATTTCAAAACAGATTTTTGCCAGATGGCTATTATCTATGATTTTCAAATTGATTTCATTAAAGGTGAAGAAATCTCTTTACCCGACTTTCTAATCAGAGAAAGAAGAAGTTGTAGAAAAATTATATTCTGTTGTTTATATATATTTTTTATTTAAATATTGTATGAAAGTTGAACAATATTGTATAAAAATTATATTTAAATGGTATGATATTGTAGTTGTATATAACTGAGTAGAAATAATGTATGAAAGTTGTAGATAAGTTGTATAATATATAATTAGTTGTATAAAATTTATTTTTACTATATATAAATCAGATACAAAATATACAAAAGACATATTGTATAAAAATTATATTTAAATGGTATGATATTGTAGTTGTATATAACTGAGTAGAAATAATGTATGAAAGTTGTAGATAAGTTGTATAATATATAATTAGTTGTATGAAATTTATTTTTACTGTGTATAAATCAAATACAAAATATACAAATTTTATACAATCACATATATATCCTTTATTAATCATATAAGAGTTTTCCAAAGGGGTTTATATGATTCTGAACTGCTCCAACCATCATCTTAAGGCTTAGACGTAAATGCCCAAATTTTTCGAATAATTGAACCACATACATATCATATGCTTAGACAACCCTTCTTATAGTAGTATAATATTTGACCATTGATGCAACTTAAAACGCTACATCAACTAAGTATGACTAAAATTAACGGCACCAATCATTTAAATAATAAAATGACAGCAAGGAGTAAAGTTGTGTTCATGCATCCGCCAAAACCCCTCCAACTTTAATTGATTAGTGTATTTTAAGGCGGAAGAAAAAAAAAAAAAAAGAAAGAAAAAGAGTGTAACTAAATCCCTTGATTGAAGGCACTAATAATGAACCGGAAGCCTTTTAATGTGAAATGTATATATTTTGTAGATAAAACTTGTGTAGGTCGGGTAAATAACAAAACATTGACAATTTTAGTAATAAAATTTCAAATAGTGTATAAGAACGAAAAAATCCCTTTTGTAATTATACTAGATCGCCTTCGGCCCGTGCTAGCACGGACCCAACAATGTAGGTTCAAATATAATTTTATTTGTAGTTCTTTTATTGATAGATTTTCTGATATATTTTACTATTATTTTCGACAAATAGAAATAGTTTCATTTTTTTGGGTTTCCTACAAACTTTAACGTATCTAATATTTATTGCGAAGTTAAATTCCTAGTTCTACAACAATAAAAGTAATCATAAAAGCAACTTTGCTTCTACAGATAACAATTTCCTAATGTTAAGTTATAGATGATACTATTCAAATTTTGTGGTAGCAAACTCCAAATCATATACCACAAAATAATTAATATGTCTGTTTCCTTTTTCAATTTTTTCAGGTTGTTCCTCCCTTGTTTTATTTTGTTCTTACTCTACATTTTTTTAACGTTTTCTTGTACTTTTCTTCTTAACTTCACTTTTTTTTGGAAAAACAAAATACCAAATGCACCCTCGGAATTGTACTTGAAATTTTTAAAATTTGTAACATTGTCCCATTAATGGTTAAAACGTATGCTCCTTAATTCGAACTTTTTCCGGAGAAAATCAAATCTTAGAATATAGAAGACAAAAATATGTTTAAATATTTATCTTAAGATTGAAATAAAAAAATTACGTTACAGTTAATTTATATACTTTCTACAACATTAAACTCTAAATTGATTAATTATCCCTCAAAAAATTAAGATGCAATGTAAACTTCTAAAATTTTCTATGTAACAATATATCTTTATATTCTTTAATATATAAATAATTTTTAATATTTCTTAGAATTTGAATATATTTTATTTGATTTTGTCTAAATTTCCCCCCGGTAAATAGTCTATAGTCTTTGATGTTAGAAAGTATCAAACATAGAAAATGACAGTCCATATAATAAGTTACAACATTTTTATACCATCTAATTAATAAACAAAATTAGCACACAAGTAAATTTAAAATTTAACAAATAATATTAAAATAGTAGTACAATGAAACAAATGTTGAGTAAATAAAGAATGTTAACATAGGTTATGATTTGTTAAAGTAATATCGAGAGAAGAAACGATTAGTTAGGCTTGGCACGTGTGGGCTGGGGAGCCGCTAAGTAGGAAAGAGTGTGATGATGGTTAACGACATAAGCTAGGGATAATTTAGCCAAAGCGCTGAAAACTTTATATATAAGCTACAATATGATTCCTTTTTTGCCAGTTATATTACTCTATTTGAACTAAAATGACCAAATTGCCCTTTAGTTCCTAAGCAAGCAAAGCAAACACGTTGACCTACTGACCTCATTCCCTCTTATAAGATAGTACTAGTAAGGGATGACACGCGCTGTGCACGGGCCCAAGTTCAAGTAAACTACACAATTTTAGTGAATTAATAATTTAACTTTATATTCTAGAGGTTTGAGTAAAATTGAGAAATGTATTCGTAATTTAAGTTAATGTGAGTGAAATAGTAAAAAAATTTGTTTAAGCGAAATAAATGCAATTTTTGGCGCAAATTTTTGATAAAATTTTTTATGTTAAGTTCATGTCCAAACATAACTCATCTTGTAAATACTTTTTTTCTTTCCAATTTTGACCTTCAAATACTTTTTTCTTCGGCCTCAAGATTGGTTGAATGCTTCTTAAAATTTGAATTTGAACCCCAGTGATTATTATATATAACTTGTTAGACCCTTTATGTTGAGAGAAAGGGAGTATATAATAAAATGTGATTAAGATCCAACATTAATAAGTTATTTTGATTGTTGTTACTTATTATACTATATTGTATTGTTATTTCAAATACAATATTTATTTCGATTGTTACTTGTGAGCACCTAATATAACACATATCTTTTGGGGTACAAAGAGGTGTGACATTACTTTAATTTTATTATATCGTATCGTTAAATTTTTGGTTACATAATGACAAAAAGTGACACATTATGAAACGATCGATTTGATCTAAGCGCGTAATTACCTTTTTTTATCTTACCCTTTTTTTATTAAATAATTTTATTTTAATATTTATCCGATCTATTTATATAATAATTTCACCTCGTACCCTATTTCTTTTTTAATGGAAACATCTTTTTTCAAAAGTCAAGGCGTAGAGTAATATTTTTACTGTTTGCTTTTTCTTTTAGTGATCCATCAATGCCCTTGAATCCCAATTAAATCATTCTTTTCCTCTTAATTCCTCCAAAAACTTCTAAGTTTTTGCTTATGTTTGTAAATTCATGTTCTTCCTCTGTTTGATTAGGAAATATGTCTTCCATATTATTGTAAGGAACTAATCCTCCAACAATATTGTACTAAATTTGCACCAAGCTAATCACGTAGCTTGAAATAATTCATTTTAATCACTTTAGTTTATGTATATCGTAGCTTGATAATACTTGAAAATATTTACATCAGCCATTTGATACTCTTGGAACAGTTAGAAGGTTCTCAAAGTTCACAAATTTACACAAACACCAACGTCATTTAAAGTAAAAGTGATAATTCAAGGGTATAAATAAATATTAGTGATATTGAAACATTAAAAGAGGGTCCACATGATAGGAAGTGACAATTTCAAAAGCTACTCTAGACGTGTGGCATGGGAATTGAGGTGGCCCCCACACGATCATCACACTCATCAAATATGTACAGGTGATAAAGCTTCATGTACAGTAGCTTGAAAGCAGATAAACATTGAAATTCCAGAAATACCCTCACAATAAACAGGCATGTTGACGGGAAGGTGCCTGCTAACTCTCTCTTATAGAATAGTAGAATATAAGTATCTAATTTACCAACAAAAAAAAAACAATGAAGAATTGACAAAAACAACCATGGCCCGAAGCATAATGTAGGGGTGTGCAAATGAAACCGATAAATCACATCAACCCGATAATTTAAGTCAAACCGAGAAAAAAATACGGCTATTGTTTGGTTTGATTTGGTTCGGTATTGGAAAAAAAAATCCGACCATATTTGGTTTGGTTTGGTTTTAGCTAAAAAAGTCAAAACGAAACCAAACCAACCCAACATTATATGTGTAGAAGTTTTAATTATATTTAATACATAAAAATATTCATGATAATGTAGTTTATAAATATTTCTTAAACTTTTTTATAATTTTATCTTTTATCGTATTATTTCAAGCTTGGAATTATAATTTTTGGATGCTCCAATAAGTTTTATAGTCCATAAATGTTAGTAACTCAAATAAATCCTAAATCAAAATCAAATCAATACTAATGCTAATAAAAGACATTCAATTCAATTGTACTATGAATAAAAATAGTGTTGGATATATATTTTTTTTAGTTTTTTCATGGTTTAGATAAAATGTATAACTTATTTTTCTTTTAGTGGTTAG